TAAAGATGGTGAAAATATTCATTATACGCCGTAAAATATGGATTTCAACAGCCTAATTTCTCATAACTCAAATGATATTCTTTAAAGATGCTTACTGTTTAGATCAATTATGCAGCGCATCAATCTTTCTTTGTACTCTGGATGAGAATTATTTTGCTTATACCTCGACCAATCTTGATAAATGTCTTGATAAAAAGTTTCGACAATTTGTTTACTGTAGCGCCCCAAAGGAAATTCTTTGTGACTGATGAAATCCATGATGTGGTAGAAGACGGCGTGAATTTTGGGTGTTATGTTGGCACCAGTTATCATTAGGTAACACTTTTGGAAATTTTCGATTTTTTCAGCGAGATTCGGCTGAAGGATATATCCAAATCAAGCCTTGACAATTAAATTGAAGCATTTGAATGCTTCAATTATGCACACAATATTGGGATCCATGTTGGTCTCAGCAAATTGCTGCAGCATATCTTCATTTTTAAGAAGCTTCCTGTATTTATTTCCCTCAAATTGGCTTCCGTGATACGGCTTTAGTTAAATGTGGAGGGCGGTCGGCTACTTAACAGCTTCTATCCAAGCAGTTTTAAGGATCTTGAAAGGATGGTTGACAACTTGAGAGGAGATGCAATTCCATCGGTGAAATGATTTCCTAAATCAGAACATTGACAGGCTCGCAGATGACTGACTTTCAAATGACATTGCCAAACAGCTTTGCATTAGCAACAACCCCGCCAGATTGCTGAAACGACTCAAGGCTTGAATTAATTGAGCCCAATGTTTGCAAGTTTCCAGATTTGACAAGACAATTGGATTTGACGTCATACTAAGAGCAAGGGTGCATACTTGAATGAGTTTGAAGACCACAAATTAAATTTGCAACTTTCATATCACAAGCCAAAAATAGTTTAACTCCATTTGCATTAATCAGTGACCAGATTTGTTCAATAATGGAGTGTGTTTCTGGCAAATCTTCTGAAACCCCATCAATAATTTGTCTCTTGACTCCAGTGTCTTTACCAGTTCTTTGAGTGAGAGGTTGTTGTTGGTTTAGTGAGCTGGTTTTATCCCTTAACGCAGTATCAACAATGCTTAAACAAAACTTGAGAAAACCTTTGCCACCATCAATTCCGAGCTTAACAAAATAGATACCAGAAATTTTGCGGGACTGAATAACATGATTCACAACATATGATTGCAGTGAGCAACAACATAAACTCTACAATAATTTGTTTTTTCGTCTGTGATTTTTAAGTCGCTGCAGGTGAAGAAATCGCTTAATTGTTGACCTAGTCTTAGAAAATTCATATAGAAATTTCGCTCTACCATCTTGCTGCTTGATGTTTTGTTTATAGTTTTAACAACTTTCTTTAATCCGTTGTTTGACAGGCCCGTATTTAATTGCACATTTACAAGGGCTACAGTGATCAATTTCAGAGCTCTTGATGGTGTCTGCGCACTACTTTGACCTAAAACCACATATTTTATAGTTACAATAAACTTTGTTTAGTAAGCTTGTGTAAAACAAATTATTCGTTTTTAAAGAAATTAGAAACTTGTCAAAAATATACTTCTTGAAATCTATCTAGTGTTATTTCTTAATAGTCAAGACTTTATTTCAATAATATTAAAATTATTTAAGTATAAATATTTATTAGGGGTAACTGTAAGTGGAGGCCCGCCGGATGCTTTAGCCAGTAGAATAGCTCCATCCGTAGATAATTCTTTATTGGAAATAACTCACGATTGTTCGGATGATTTGGCATCTTTTGCTGCTAAAAATTGAATGTTTTCCTTTAACATTATTTGAGAGAATTGGTTGGGCAAATTTTTTTCTAAAGCGCTGAGGCATTTGCTGCAACGCACCTTTGATTTTTTCTCAATAGTGGTTTGCTCTATAAAAGGATGTTTTTTTGCAGCTTTGAACGACCAATTCGGCATATTAGGCAACAACACATCGTGCCTCTTGTTTCAGGTCTCACTTGTATTGACTTAAAATCAAATAAAGGAGGGAGTGCAATATCTTTTCTTTTCTTGTTTCCTGCGCAAAGTAATTCTACACGATTCGCAGAATCCTTTTGGTACGCGAGTATCACTGATATTGATCTTGGTCTTGTACATTTACCATATTCGATCTGCTTGAAAAGTAGTAAGCTGTCTTAAACATTTTTTCAGACAGGGCAAGCCCACAAACTTTCGATTTTCTTCGTGATTCTTTGCTTGATTTGGCATCATGGCAATTCACTAAATTTGACTTCACTAAATCAAAATCTGCTTTTACAAAATTTGACCTAAATTTATATTTGATAACAATCCACTTAACATAGTAACCCATATTATTAATTAAAAACTATTAAAATAAAGGAAGTATATACTTGATTTAATTGAGGTAATATTAAATTGCAAGGAAATAATTCTTAAATAGTTCTTTCCTTTCTAGGAAACAATTGTTTAAACTATTTACTTGTAAGGAAATTACATTATTGATAATTGTCACACTTATTAAACTAATGATACTTGTCACATGGGTTGTTTTATTTAAAAACAACCCTTTAATCTAATTAGTTATTCAGTTAGAGTAGTTTTCTACCGACTGGCCCTCCAAACTTTGTATTCAGTTAGAGTAGTTTTCTACCGGCTGTCCCTCCAAACTTTGTATTGGTCAGATATCTTAGTTAATTTTTTAAGTCAATTATCTTTGTCAATATAAAAATATTTTTTCACAGTTGTCCTGTTTTCAGATAATTAAACATTTTTATTTTCTATGTATGTACCCCTCAGAATCCTTCTTAACCATTTTTTTAGAATTTTTTTGCATTCTGGCAGTAGTTTACCTCAGGAAATGTTGGTATACTCACGCTATGCATACATGGCCGTCAAGGAAGCCATGGCCTGCCCAGTTTTTTTTTGCGAGGAACTTTTGTTTTAGAAATATAGGCAATTATTTTAGAAATTATGAATTTTATTTTAGAAATTGAGGGGTTGACCCCCTCCACTTTGAAGGCCGTGTCAACACTATTAGCGTAAGACTATTTAAATCACGCTTTAAGTAGAAAGTCACTATTTTGGTCTATAAAATGAAAACTGTACATGTACCGATAAAATAATTATAACAAAAATTGTTGGTATTACATAGTAGAACACTCATGTATTATATATGTAGTATATACATATGTAGTATATACACACTCATGTATTATATATGTTGGTAATACATAGTAGAACACTCATGTATTATATATACACTCATGTATATATTTTAAAAATAGTGACCGAATTTTAAAGTAATCGGTAACGCTTTGAGGTATAAGTAGCAAAAAACTGACAAAACTTCAACTAAAACTGCAATAAATCCTACATTAGTCATTCAATCAGGCTGAAATTTTGTCCAGAGTTTTGTGTGACTATTGGCTACATTTGTACAAATTTTTATCAAATTATATTGAGTGGTTCAAATTTTACAAGTGTTTTTATTGGCGCACTATAATGTCAAAATTTGACTTAATTTGAACATTCAAATTAATTATTTTCCGCGGACAAAATTGAATGATTTCAAAATTTGCATCACAGGGTACCTTGATGTGTATGCTAACTTTCCGTATAAGTAGTGGTCTTGGTACAGCTAGGTAGGCATTATAAGGATCCCTGCTAACCGTGTACATCACGTTCTCCCTAATTTAAAAAGCCATCGGGACATCCCATGACCACCTCTAAACCACCATGTTTAAACATGGCAAAACTTTTTATGTCTTGAATATAAACATATGATACATGTTTATAGGGGTTTTGGGGCCAAGGAATTTGTTTTCAGGATCAATTTTAAGTTTGGAGTAATCAAGTAGTCACAAGTGTTCATTTTATAGGTTATCATTGACCATCAGTTAAATAAACACCTATGTGCTCATTTTAGAGGTAGATATAGACATTTCTGGCTCTCTGTACACCGTTATTCGTGATACTTAACGTTTTCCTTTAACAAAATTAATCAGACGTTAGTCTGGTGGTGGAAGAAAAAAGGTTTTACAATGCATAAAACCGGTTAGAAAACTGGATAAAAGTTTTAAGATTAAACCAAACCTCTCACTAAGGAACACACAGAAAGATTTCTCATAGTCTTGATGTAAAAGTCCAAATTAAACTTGGTCTTCGTTCTTTTAAATAACAAAATATACCCACCCGTGTTGAAACTCCAAAAATAAGTGCAAGAAACCGATTCAAAATGTTGTACGACAATTTTTTAAAAATTTCTATATTACATTTTTATTCTATATACATTTTTATTGAAGACAATAAAAATGATATAAAGGAATTATATTTACGTCATTTTTACGCAAATTAGTTGTAGTAACTTCGGCATTCAGTTCCATGGTTAAAAAGAACCAAACAGTATGCGATTATCAATAAGTAATTTATTTTAACCATAAAATATCTTAAATTATCTTTCAATAAATCACAGCATAATAAAGCAAGATCGTAGAATCATAGAAGATTGAACAAAGTGATGTGAAAGTTGTGGCTAAAACAGCAAATCTTCCAAACTTTTTCTCTCCCGGAATTGAGAATTATCGAAATGATAAAAATAAATAATAACGAAAACATTAATAGTAATAAAATTAATAATGATAATAACTATAATAATAAATAAAGATCGAAAGAAATCAAGTAATTCACAAAATTATAGCATATTTTTTATTATGACGCTTCAACTAATTAGATAATCATTGGCAAGAAACAAAACCAATAAATAGATTTCCAACCAGCAATCACCTACTTTTTATTGATTTCCTTATAGCTTGACATTTAAATAAGTACTATACAAAGTTGTTTAATAAATAAATGAAATATGGTAGTTATATAAAATGACATGGTTTTCATTTGTTGAAATGAACTGATCAGCGGATTAACGGAACCAACGGAAGTGGATAAAATCTTATAAACCGTGAATAAAATAGCATAAATTTAAATAAAAAATATTTTGATAAGTTTTATAAATAGCTTACAAAGTTTAATATTTGCTGTTGTTAATACATGTAGATAATCAAAACAACTTTTTTTTATAACTATTATTGTTGTTATCACTAATACCGCATTTTTTTATTAATACAAACATATAAAACATATGGTGGCTGATGAAAAACGAAAACAAAAAAGGTTTTTCATTCTATTAATGTTGACATAGATATTATATTTTTATAGTGTTTATATATTTTCTTTTTGAAGAAACGCATAAAAAAACTCGTTATTATTTTGTTTTTAGTAAAGATTTACATTTTGGTAAATATTTCAAATTTTCTTATTTAAATACTTATATATATTTTACTATTGCTACAAATATATATATATATATATATATATATATATATATATATATATATATATATATATATATATATATATATATATATATATATATATATATATATATATATATATATATATATATATATATATATATATATATATATATATATATATATATAGACTCAGTTTGTTTGTTTGTTTTTAATTATATTTCGCAGTTATTCGACTTTTTTCAATTTGATTTTTTAAGTATTTATTTTGACACTAACATAATACCAATAGTATCCTAACACAGACACTGGAACGGTACTGATAAAATATTAGCACAGGCATAGAAAAAAATGCCTAATATTGGAATACTGCATTTAAATCCCAAATTCACACTGGAATTGTAAAGAAGTTACGCGTTTTAATTCGCTATTTAACAACTTTTTTATAAATAGTTTTGTTGACTCATTTCACCGAAATTATTTAGAAACTTTACAAAATAAGCAACATTAGAGAATTTAAGAATAAATGTTTTTTATTTTTTTTTATTTTTTTTTTTTTGCATTTGTAGCCCTAAAACAAGAAATCTTTAAAAAGGTGTTATACAGTAATGTAAAGATACTTTGATTAAATGCGTAAAAACTTCTTTTTAAAATTTTTTTTTGTTTTAAATTTTTCACCCCAGTAAAAAGAATTAAACTATAAAATTTTGTTTTAGCAAACAATAAAATTTTTAACCGTAGTAAAAATTAACCCATAGTAAAAAGAAACGATTTTTATTTAAAAAAAAATAATTGACGTTTAATTCTCGAAAGATGAAAACAGTCTTGTAAAATATTTGATGGCAATTAAAATTCTTTTTTCAAATTTATAAAAAATATATATATATAAAATCATGGTTTATAAGAATTATTCACATATTTTAAGGTATATGCTCATGTAAAAAGAAAGCTTCAGGATTATGCGTATTTGCTTGCCTAAACCCTAAAACAAAAACCTTTAAAAAGGTGTTTTAGTAATATAGTTTCTTTGTACTAATTACTTAATTTTTATTTTTTTTTTAATTTTTCTTATCCAATACAAAAATAAAAAATTAAAGCAGGACTTTAGGACCAATGATTTATTTTTTATAATGTCTTTAGAAAAACGTTTTATATTATATATAAACGTTTTTTAATTTTTGTTGTTTTATATTTACAAAAATAAAAAGTTAAAGCAGGACTTTAGGACCGATGATTTATTTTTTATAATGTCTTTAGAAAAACGTTTTATATTATATATAAACGTTTTTTAATTTTTGTTGTTTTATATTTACGGTATAGAATAAGGGGCTGATTCCGATAAGAAGTCAAGAGCAATATACTGAGGAAATGTGAAAGTGAGAACTTTTTTATTGTGTGTGTGTGTGTGTTATTTATGTGCCCCAAGAAGACCTAACGGTGTTGTCACAAAGCACCGAGGAAGTGCATTTGACCAGGAAGTTCACGCCTCCGTCATTACCGTGACGCGAAAATATGTCAAAAGCTTGTTTCAAAACTGGATCTCTTGCTTATAAATCTAACCACTGCGCCACGGCTGCACAAGAACTTACTTATTAGCTTAGCCGATTAACGATTTGGCAGAACGTTTGCAGATGTCATTATAATAGTTAGATTTTTTTTCAGAGATGGCGTGAATAGTGATTTTGCCGAATACCGAAATTCGGCTAAGCGCTTGGATGAAGCACCAAATATCAGGCGACATTTAGTTATTTAGAAGGTTCCAACCTGCTTCATTGAAGCGCTTATGATTTCTACGTTGTGGGCATTTTTGTTTCATTTGTGACTAGGCCGTATTATAGCACACATTATTTGTTGGCTTTTTCATCAAACTGTTTAACGATAACTTGTATTATAAAAGTATAATATAATAACAGTAATATATAAAAGTATCATTCCCCTCAAACTATTCAAAAAAATTACAAAAATTACAAAAGCTCAGATATATCTTACAATTTAGAGGTAATTTTAGATGTTGCTCTAAAATGAACTCTAAACTTATTCAAAATGATACGTTTACTACAACCTGAACTTAAAGCATGGTTTAAATTTAATGGGAATGACAATTATATGGCTGTCTCTTTTAATGATGCACACTTCAAAACTAATTTTAGGTATTAATTAAAACACAACAACTAAAACAAAAAAATGTTTTAAAAAAATCTTAGTGAAAGATTAGTTAGGGAAAGTTTTATTCTTTTCAGTGAAAGACAGACTGGCACCGGTTAACTATATCTGGTCTATAGTAGCACCGGTGATGGGTCATCTCCACTTCGTAAAAAGAAGAAATGTAAATAAAAACGATCAAAATAATCTCAAAAAAAATGCACACATATAAAGATGTGGAATAGAAAAGTCTATTTGCAAACGAAATTGGTTTTTATATGAAGCTGTTTGCTTAAATTGGACAACAAGCCCTTACAAGTGGTGGTAAGCAAACACAAAACATTATTCAACAAATCAAGAACCATAATTTGTTAAAGCCATTTATTAATGATTTTTACATGAAACTGTTTACTTAAATTGGACAACAAACCCTTACAAGTGGTGGTAAGCAAACACAAAACATTATTCAACAAATCAAGAACCATAATTTGTTAAAGCCATTTATTAATGAATTTTACATGAAACTGTTTACTTAAATTGGACAACAAACCCTTACAAGTGGTGGTAAGCAAACACAAAACATTATTCTACAAATCAAGAATCATAATTTGTTTAAAACCATTTATTTCTATCGAAATAATGACTTCGACTTTTAGATTAATGAAATTGCATACCAGTACAAGTATGGTATCATAGTTTCACAAAACAATGAAGCCATTATTAAGCATCAGAGTAACATACAATAATTATTTTCAAAATAACAAGTTATTTCAATACAATTTAAAATAAATTTGTAGCACCTATTAACTATAACATTCAGTTTGTAGAAATAATAAAAATTAGATTTTCAGTCAATCAAGGAAAACAATATGTAACTTGCTGGCTGACGCTAAATGACTTTTAAAATTAGTTGTTAAACACTAAAAATTTAAATAAATAATCGGTAATAATTACCAACTACAGTTGTTTTATTAACGTTGTCGGTACTATTATGCCACCATATGTAGTTTACAAATCAATATCATGATAGTAGGGTATTGTATAGACGTCTATACAAAGAATAATATGTAGGAGGACTTCCAAACAACGTATTTACAACACCCAATGCGAGTTGTATAGCTTAAATTTTTTCAATTATAAATATTCAGATTTTATTTTTGGACGGTCATGTTGCTCACGATGTTCAGTAAATACATTGATAATAAAATCGGGCTAATATGTTTATTGGCTTATTTAATCCGCATACCTTAACCGTTCGACGCAGACGCCACATTAAACATGCTTGATGTAAACTACCTTAAGAACTTTGTGCAAAAGTTTAAGCAAAAATAAGTTTTGTTTAACTTTAAGTTTTGTTTTTTTAGCTGTGCTCTTTAAACAAGTTTTAGTTCTTTAAAACATACAATATTGTAAAATATTTAATTAACTAACCTTTCAAATGTTTTTCGGAAGTTTTTTATTATTATTTTATTATTATTACAAGGCACCGCGGAAGTGGTTTTAACCAGGAAGTTCACGCCTCATACGTTTACTTATCTATGGTAATTACAAAATGTCAAGTAAATGAAGAATTAAAGAAAATGTTCTACTTATTGAACAATCTTACAACAAACTTTATAACGAGTTTTTAATTATAAACACGCCTTTCCGTTCAATTTTATTTGATATAGTAAAAGTATGAGTTTTATAAAGGTTTCGTACAAACGACTGTTTTCTAAGAAATTGTTCCGTCAAATAATCAAACAAACTTTTTTGCAAAACAGTCAAATAACATATTAAATTTTTTTAAATTGTATTAAATTTATTGAAAAACCATTTAAAAAGGCGGGGGGAGGGGGGTTGGTTTAAATTTATAATAATATCTCTTACATATTTAATATAAGCGTTTATTTATAGCTGCTACTATATACATTTATTATGTATACATTTATTGCTAGTATATACTATATATACACATAAGTTATTTTGAAAGCGCTTGCGACAAGAGTAATTTTTACAAAGTTATTACCTTTTTTAATTACATTTAAAGTATTTATTGTTAAACCTTTTTTTCGAAACTTATAAGCTCTATTTCTCTAATCAAAAAAGAGTTTTTTCTTTTTAACGCATTTTTTTTTTTTTAACTAAGGCGGATTTAGTTTTGTCGTTTAACTTCCACTTTTCAATATGATAAGTATATTTCTTTGTTTATGTGTTTCGCCGAAAAGGTTTTGCAAAGCAAAAAAAAAAATAGTAACAATTTTTCAGAGCCTAAAGTTTCTCCAAACAGTTAACTCAAAAAAAGTAGAAGGAAGAATTGGATGTTTTTTGTTACATTCACAAATTAACATTCGAAAAATTAATACTGTACTTCTGACAATATTTTATAGCATTCAAAGTTTTAGTTTCTTATTTTATGGATTCAAGATAAAATCTCTATTAAGCTGGATATACACTTAAAAGTTATTATTTTGTTGAATATTTATAGATTCGAAATGTCTAAAACTAAAGAAACAATGTGTTCCAAAGCGTCTAATAATAATGAAATGGTTTTGGAAAAGTTTCGCTCTTATCAATATGCAATTGGTGTAAACGTGGTAAGTTGGTGTTTAAAAAAACGTTTTTTAAATCTAACTAAAAAAATAATATATATATATATATATATATATATATATATATATATATATATATATATATATATATATATATATATATATATATATATATATATATATATATATATATATATATATATATATATATATATATATATATATATATATATATATATATATATATATATATATATATATATTGATTTGAATTAATAAAATGTTTTTAAATAAAATTTAAATTTATTTACACATTTTGTGCTGAGGAGAAGTTTTGGAAATATAAACATATTTTTACAACTCAATAGCGTAATATTTTTTATTGTGAACTTAGATATGCTATATTTGATATAAGTTTATAATTTTTTATTTATATAATAACTTATACTTAATTAACATTGATATACTAGAAAAGGTTTCTAAAATCACTTTTTCTGATTTACTACTATGGAACAATATTATAACAAAGACATCGTGTAAACGTAAAACGTCTTTTAAACGTCAAGAAGTTGTATACTGCCTAGTCTAAATTACGTCTTGTTTTTGCTTGATAATGACAGCAAAATGACGTGCTACGTAAGATGGACAAGATCTTAACAATTTTTATTTCCAAAACCAAAAAACCGACCCAATATTTAAAAAAATATATTGCTTTTATTAGAGTAATAACTTCTAATAATTTTAAAAAGTGTAATTTTAATAATTTGAAAATATTGTAAATTTAATTTTTAAAAGTTTATACAGAAATTACTTTTTAATAAATAGTTTATAATAAAATTACATAAAATCAATTCGAATAAATGGAGATTTTTCAAATCGAATCTCACTTTTCTGATTCAATGCAATTTGTAATATCGATGCTTTGCAAAAGCTTACTAAAAAAATAAAAGCAAATATAATTTAATAAAAAAGCTAAACTTTAATCAAGCTACCACGTGAGGTTAACCACCAACTATGCTACTCTTGATAGGAGAAAGCTCATGACTAATTTGCCGTAAACTGGCAAGTTAAAAAAAATTGTAAAAAAAAAGTTATAGTAAAGGTCATACTTAACATATAAGATGTACAGCTTTATTTTAAAATGTGGTCACATATTTTATCGCATGTTAAAATAAAGCTCTACACCTTAATTGTATGTTAAATACTATATTTACTATAAATTTTTAGTATTTTCATAGAAACCATATGTATTTTATTTATTCCTTCAACAAAATTGTAGGTCTCTTTATGGAAAAGCTTCAATAAAGTTCCTTTTGTCAGTTCACGGTAGTTATTTTCACCTAATTAAAAGTTATTAAAATGATGATAAAATATAGTTGATATGCCTTGTTTGGATCTTTGCTGGCAAGTAATCCATTTAATATTGAGCAGTAAAAGATTCAATAACCGCTTGTTCTGAGAGCGCAATTTAGCTAGTGTCTGACTTAGTGAAATCTGTGCACAAGTTAAAAGTTTAAATATTTCTTCTAAATTTGTGAAATTATTTAAAAATTCTCAAACAAATGCAGCTAAAATGAGGCACATATAGTCAAAAAAAGCTTATTATAAAATATACAAATTCATTGAATGAAACTTTTCAGGTCTGAAATAGTAAAAGAAGAAAATCTACATTTAGATGAAAGACTACACCTAAAAGAATAAGTTTTAAACTTAAAATAGGGGTCAAATTAGAAGCACAGAGACCAGGCTGTTGTATCTGTGGTCAAAAAAGAACAACTAGTGCTAGAGATGAAAGAAAAATCGGAAAAGTTATTAAACAAAATATTAAGGTGCCAGCAATAAAACTGAAAGGCGTTTTGAAAGATCAACACATCAACATTTTACTAAGATCTTCAACACGAAGAAGTCGCAAGTTAAGATTTAAGTGTTAAAAAAGCGGAAACTTACATCTGCGATGACTAATGTGGTATATGTTGATTTCACAGATAACACAGAGTTGTTTCCTAATGGCGAAAAAATATTTTTTCTAAAGGATATTTAGCTTCTTGATGGGCCTGGAAATTCTCCAGATATGAACCGTATTAAAAATCTATGTAAGCTTGTCAAACGCAAAGTTGGTGTTGGCATAATAACAAGAAAATAGAAGCTCACAGAATGACTAACTGAAGGTAAGGCGTTGAGATCCAGATGTTAAAACATTAACCTCGAAGTGTATAAATAGCATGCCAAGGTGTATCAAAGCTCTTTTGAAGTTAAAAGGACTCACCACCGAGCATGAAGTTTCATAACAGACTTTGTATATATTATTATTTAGATTATATAACAAAAAGTTAAATTGTTAGTGCATTTTTTACACACGAAAAATATGAAATTTGAGTTTGAGTCTAACAATTTGAGCAGGTACATTATGTTATTTTTAATTGATTAGTATAGTTATGTTCTTCGACTTTTTAATAACTTATCTTTATTTTGTTGTTATTGAAAATTTTCCTCCAATCACAACAATTCGTTAGGCAGTATTATAAAGTTGTTGAAATTTGTCGAGAAACGTAACCACATGCTTTATCCGCGCTTACAGTATCAAGGAAGTCATCTCAATTTTTACTTGATAAAAGTGTAATCAAAGTTTTGGTGAATTTTCGATTGATTTATCGCGTAGTTTTAAACGAGAGTTATAATAAAGCAATACTTTGAACGAAAAAAATACGTCATTTTTTAATGAACAATCTTTGTTTTACTACATTTTACTACAAATTATGTTACAATTGTAGTAACTTAATACACCACTTCACAGTTCCGATAATTTCATGCGCGCGAATATTTAATAGTACGTCATTGTTCTTTTCATGCGAAAAATCGCATGAAAAAAAGTAAATACACAAATAAATTAAGATATTACCTTGAAAGAAATAATTGTTTATTTAAGACTTTTTTTGTTTTTCCTTAAAAAAGTTATTGATTTAGCTTTATATAATTTTATTTAAACATAAAAACAGAATAAGCATATAAACAGTATAGACTTTAAGTATATAATCTATACTGCTTGTTTATGATATATAATATTTGTGAAGAAGAAAAAAATAAAAAAACAGAGAAAAAACAAAACATACTTGAGCTGGTAATAACCAGTTAATACTTTGTATTAACTGCTTCGGCCGAGCGCCTCACCGAATACTCGGTACTCGGCTAAAATCACTATTTGTTGTATCTCTAAAAAAAACTTTTAAACAAAATTCACATAGTTGTTATTGAATATTCTATGACATTCTACAACAACATTAAAGGTGCTATTTAAAATAGTTTTTAACGAAATTTAGGGGGTTAAAAGTCTAAAACCGTTTTTTATTTATCTGGTGGATGTCGGTATTTTTAATATAAATGATTTATCTTTTATAATAAAAAGCTTAGCACTTACTACAATCAGATAAGAAAATTTAGTTATAAAGTTTTTATAATATATGAGAGTGCAATTTATAGTTGATCAAATGTGTAATATTATCTACTATGACTTTGAGTTTTTTTGTTTGTGTAGGTAATTTTTAAAGAAAAGGTTGCGTAAAAAAGGGATTTTATTGAAAAAATGCAAGCATAAAAATAAATTTTCATATTTCTTTTTTTTATTTCAATATATGATGTCACTGGATTAATATGCACTAATAAGAAATTTATATGTTCTGAGATATTTTTTTATTTTCGACCAATACTTAAAAGATAAAGTATTGGACTTTGTGGTAAAATTGATATATTGAGCTTAAGAAAGAGATAATTTTTGACTTAAAACGAGTCTCAATAGTCCTCTGGGTATTTATCCGTTTATTTTTTCACGACTCTATAATCTAAAATCTGTTCTTAGAACCACTATTTTTATGTCTATCTGACCGGACGGCTCCGTGGGTCACCTGTATGCAATCTTTGTGTTGTCAATTATGAATTGTATCATAAATAATATTCCATGCGGAATGGAGTTAACAGTTTCAGCTTAGTGATATTTTATTTCCTGTTAAAAATAAATTCTAAAATTTGAAATTAAAATATATTTATTGTTATGCATTATTTTTGAGCCTAAAAATAAAGCAATAAATATCATGTAGAAATCAGAGATTTTTCTTTCATTTAACTAGGAATGAAGTTCTTGGGTGAACTAGGGTAGTTGGCGTTTTCTTTTTTGTTTGTAAGATATTTTATGCAGAGAATAAAAATTGTATATAGTGCAGATATTCGGTTGTTTTCATTAGTCTTTTTAAATTGATTTTCCCAAATCCATTTGAACTGATAAATTCTAAATCAAATATAAAATATACTTTTATTTTAAATTATGAACTGGTAAAATCATTATTGTAAATTGTAATGTAATCATTAGCCATTCGGTAATTTCAGAATAACATACAGTGACCTTGTGAATTGTTTCCTAAAGGTTGACCAACAATAATCTCGCTAGTATGATGGGCTGATTAGCTGATTATTATATCAAGAATATTTTTTTGAAATTCCCCTAGATTAAGTAAATGTTTAGAGACAAGTTAATGTAGTTAAAGAGTGCAATCTTTGCACGTTTGGTAATAAAACTGGTTTAAATGTTTGAGTAACATATCCATCCTTTTTCAATTTGATGTTATATATAAATATACTCTAATAAACTACTCTTATTTAAAATGGCTGACGAAACTGACAGATCGATTTTGAGTTTAAAACATTTAAGAACAGAGATCGGTCTGTATTTGGAAACATCAGAAGGATCACCTGTTTTAAAAATTGGTGTAACTTTTGCGCTTTTTAGTTTTTCAGGAAAAATTCCATGTTTTAAAGATAAATTAAAAATATGTAAAAGTGGTATTGTTATATATTTTAGTGACTTAATAATGACCATACTGCTGATATCATCTAAACCGGAACTTTTGTTAATTTTTAACAAAGAAATTGAATAGTTCAACACTTTTACATCAAAGTTCGGATCCTGATTTTAATTTTTATAATAATAATGAAGTAATTAAACATATTAACCCATTATATTATAACTCAAACTCAAAAAATATAACGGAAGGAATGGATGATAACTCATTTTCAATTCTCCATATTAATATTAGGAGTATTCAAAAAAACTTTGAATCATTAAAACAGTTTTTATATAAAATCAAAATTAGTTTTAACATTATTTGCCTTAGCGAAACATGGTGTCATGATAAAAATATTGAAAACGATTCAAATTTCCAAATACCTAATTACAATGTGGTTCACCAAGTTAGAGGTTGGGGCAAGGAAGGTAGGGGTTTATGTATATTTATTATTAATTCATTATCATACAAATTAATGCAAAACTTAAGCTCAACCACTAATGACTATGAATCGTTATGCGTAGAAATCATTAGCGAAACCTCAAGAAATATAATTGTGCATGCGTTATATAGACCGCCTACAGGAAAAATTAATGCGTTCAAAAATCATATTAAAAGTATAATTAAAAATAAATCAAGTTGTAATAAAAGTGTGTATTTTATTGGTGACATTAACATCAACATTTTTGACTATGACGTTAATAAGCACATTAATAATTTCTTTAATGTCTTTTTTCAATCTGGTTACATTCCATTAATAAATAAACCCACGCGTGTAACTAAGTATAGTGCAACATCAATAGATCAAATTTTTACAAATGAATTTCTCACAACAAAAATAAAAACTGGAATATTTAAAACGGATATTTCGGACCATTTTCCAATTTTTATTATATCAAATAAATGCGATAAGTCTTATTCTCAAAAAAGGAAAGTAACAAAACGAATAATTAACGATACCTCCATTAAATCTTTTCATGATGTTATATCATTCGAAAAATGGGACGAAACTCTAATAAATTTAAATGCTGATGAGGCCTATGATATCTTCTTAAATAAGTTTCTTCAATATTATAACAAAGCATTTCCCATAGTTACAAAATTATTAAAAGAAGAAAACCCTTATGAGCCCTTGGATAACAAAGGGAATTATTAAATCTTCAAAAAAAAAACAGAGATTATCTGTAAATATCTTAAAAAAAAACACTACAAAATGAAACTAACTATAAAAATTATAAACGTTTATTTGAGTTAAATTTGAGACGTTCAAAAACTAATTACTATTCAGATCAAATAATAAAAAGTAATGGTTTGCAAAACACATGGCGCATTATTAGGGAAGTTATTGGCAAAAAAGATTTAGATAGAAATACTTTGCCAAAAAATCTCAAATTAAATAATAAATTAGTTTTTAATAAATCAATGGTGGCTGAAACGCTAAATAACTTTTTTGTTAATGTTGGTAAAAGTTTAGCTGAAAAAATTGAACCATCTCATATAAGTTTTAAATCATACTTAACATCAATTAATGCTGTTATGCCAAATCATGAACTTAAGGAGGAAGAATTATTAAATTCAATTTCTTTGTTAAAAATTAACAAAAGTTCCGGTTTAGATGATATCAGCAGTATGGTCATTATTAAGTCACTAAAATATATAACAATACCACTTTTATATATTTTCAATTTATCTTTAAAACAAGGAATTTTTCCTGAAAAACTAAAGGGCGCAAAAGTTACACCAATTTTTAAAACAGGTGATCCTTCTGATGTTTCCAAATACAGACCGATCTCTGTTCTTAATTGTTTTTCAAAGATTTTGGAGCGTATAATGTATAATAGACTCTATTCTTTCTTAAATGTAAATAACATTCTTTACAATAAACAATTCGGGTTTAAATCCGGTCATTCGACCGATCACGCAATAATTAATCTTGTGCATGAAATTTTTAAAGCGTTTGATGAAAAAAAAATTTACTTTAGGTGTCTTTATTGATCTGAGCAAAGCGTTTGATACCGTAGATCATAATATTCTTCTTTATAAACTTAAAAATTATGGCAGGCTTGGTCGGGAAGCGGGTGCGATCGCACTCGATATTTGACCACGGAAATTATATTTAGTTGCGAAAAGCCGGCCAGATTTTTTAGGCGATTTGAGAACATTTCAAAAACAAGCAAAAAAGCGCAATAAGATAAACTCGACCGATGAGAGACAGTTAAAAAAAGAGAAAAATAGCTTTTAACGCAAAACTTTAAGCAAAATAAATACGATTAGAGCAAATATTTTTGAAACGTCGCTCTTTTATAATTTTTTTTTTTAAAAAAAAAGCGACATTTTTTGTATATAGTAACAACGTACTTATAATGATTGTTTAATAAAGAAACAAATGTTCTTCAATTTATCAAAGATTATATATATTATTTTTATTTATGTACTTATGTCTTATTTCCAGTGCTGCAAATAAGAGGTGGGGGGGGCTGGGTAGAAGAGCTATAGTCCCGGGACACACAATGTTATGGGCCGAGAAATAGTCAAGAGGACCTATCGGTATTTTTAAGTCATTTTTACGCTGTCGCACATAAAAAAGCCACCAAAATAATGCAGCCCCCGGCCCTGTAAAGTCCAACAAGACTAAACCAGTAAAACTAACGCTACATAATTTAATTAAAAATAAAAAAAGTTTTTTCAGTACCTGTTTTATGCTTCGCGTAGTTTGAAAAGTTTAACATATTTGAAACAGTTCTTCTTAGTAAGATGCAGCGTTGCCAGATTTTTTTTGCGCTAAAATGCCAAATGCTTGTCTAAAAAATGCCAAATAATGCCAAATTTTTATTAATAATGCCAAAAAAAATGCCAACTTTTAAAATAGCAGAAAAACTTTATAAAAAAACATTGAACCTTATTTATTAACTATATATTCAATAAAACTATTTTAAAAGTCATATATTAATCAGTTTTAACATATTTTTTATATATTTTTCAATAAAAAAACGACGTTTAACATAGATTATTTATGTATTTATTAAATAGATAAGTATGTTCACTCAACTTTCAAATAAATATAAATCTAAAGTTAAAAAATATGAATTAAAGAAAATTTCAAATTCTGTTAAAAGAATTATAAAAAATGTCTCAATATCAAACTTCCTTTAGTTTAAATCATCAATTAGAGTGAGATCATCTTCGACCAATTCATCATCGTCAGAATACATGTCCGTTCCCAATTTAGTTAACATTTTGTCACTGATTTTAAAGTCTTTACAACATTTGTTGCGGCTAGCAAGGTAGGCTTTTACTCGCACTACACTGCTGAGCAATTTGTCTGACATTCTGTTTCTTGGTTTGTTTTTAACAAAGGTGACCTGAGAAAAAATACGTTCCACAAAAGCGTTTGATATAGGGAGAATAGAACAAGTTAGGCAATAGTCTGCTAGTTCCTTAAATGCTGCATCTCCTGATGTATTTTTGTAGTGGCGAACTGCAGTCCAGAACTCAGTTGTATCTTTTGGTATACAAGAATTTTCAAACAGCTCCGTAGAAGACCAGTCAACCAAACTTACTTTTCTGTACTGATCTTTAATGTTTTGCGCTTTATCCTTCATAATATGCCTTAAAGGCAGATGAGTGAATGGCATTTTAGAACTTTGATGCAGAACCTTTGATGGTGAGAGATAAGATAGACCTTGAAAAATTTCTTTGTTTTCAGGTAGACGTTGATCAAGCTCTTTCAAAAGACGCAAAAGAAATTGAAGACAACGTGTTAGAACACTTTCAATGTTTTTCTGGCTATTTCTTTTTGGGTTTGAGGATAAGTATCAATATATTTTTGGCAATCTGATTAAAATTTTGCCCTAAAGTCAACACGTTTTAGAGGCAGTTGAACTCCTTGGTTGTCAAGAACACGCTGTTGTAGACTTTTGTAGTGTAGGTTTAGCTCTGAAACTAGCTTCTCAGGATCCACATTAGTGCTTTGAAAAAGAGCATTCAAACGCTCAAATTCTTGAACAATTGGTGTCAAAAAGACGACATAAAGATAGAGAGTTTCATCTTTGAACATGTTGTTAATTGTTGTAACTCTATACCTAATGCAAGCAGGAGCTCGAGCTTCAGCACATAAGAAATAGGCTTTTAATTCGTACCAATTCACCATCAAATTGTAAAGACATTTCCCTCTGACGAGCCATCGAGTAGCTGAATACTTTTAAAATGGTGATGGAGTTCCCATCCTTTCATTGCTTGGATCCATTGTCTGAAAAAGTACTTTAAACTCTTCTTGTCGAATGGAACTTTTTGAAAAAAATGAAGGAATTTCACTGAGCAGAAAGCCAACACTTGATGGCATTAATTCAAAGGAATGTTGAACAATGAGGTTCAAGGAGTGGCATGTACAGCGCATTAAAATACAATTAGGAGAGACTGCCCGAACACGAGACCAAACCGAATTGTGAAATCCAATGACATTTGAAGCTCCGTCTGAGCTATACCCAATGCAGTTTTTTATAGACAATCCAACAGACGTCAACTTTGTTTCCAAAACAGCAAAAAAGATCTGCACCAGTGGTTGATATCACAGCAGCTAAACCAAGAAAATCATCGATAACTGATTTCTATTCATCTGAATAGTATCGAGCACAAATGCAAAGATGTTTTGTCAAAGAAACATCAGTTGATTCATCAATCAGGATGGAAAAAGGTTTATCTGCCATTGATTCAGAAATTTCTGATTCGATTGATAAAGAAATTACATTTTTAATAATTTGGGTACATTTGGTTCGATGCAGACGAAGGTTTTCAAGGGGACTATTTTTTCCATAAAGAGAAATGATTTCTCCAAGGTGATTTATCGTTGAAATGGGTGCATGACAACACACGCAAAGAGCAAGATGAATATCTGCTTCACAGTCTGCTTTCTTTGATACTAAAGGAAACGTAATCTGGCTTTTTGTGTTAAGATGCTTTTCTCTTGAAGCATGTCTAAAAGTAACACTGTGCTGTTCTACAGACGATTTCCGTGGTTGTATAGTCACACGACAAAGGGTACAGAATGCTGATTCAGTACCATCAGAGCTTTTTTTAAGCCAAGGATAATCCGCTTCCCATTTTTCAAGGTACTTTCTTGAATTTACCCTCGACATTGTGCTTAATGTTCTAATACAAATTAAATACAAACCAACTGAAAAAAAAATCAATTCAACAGTTTTCTTTAAAAATGCCAAAAAAATGCCAAAATAATGCCAAAATAATGCCAAAATGCCAAAAAATGCCAACATGTTAAAATAATGCCAATTTTACTAAATTTGGCATTAAAAAATGCCAGTTGGCAACACTGAGTCACAGTGGAAATTTAATTAGCTAGATAGAAATTAACTAAAAACGTTAAATTACTTTGTAAGGAGGAAGCGGAACTGCTTAACAATATCGCTGATGATGTTTAGTGAGTGAGTTTTATATCTTTAACTAGTATTTTACAGAAAAAAAAACTTTAAGTGTAAGTATAACGAGTTTGTAAGAATGGCTGAAGCAAAATAATTGAAGTTAATAAACCAATTTCTAATACATTACATACATATAAATAAATACATCCCTTATATATAAAAAATAAGATTATACTAATTAAATTCATAATATATTTACAAAACGTTGACAAGTTAAAAAATATAAATATAAAGCATTTATTTTTGTAAACAAATGTTAGTTTAAAACAGTTATAGCTTTATGGATGTGACTCCGAGAATGAGCCATTGTATTAAAACAATTGTTCGTTTGATAGTATATTCTTAAAACAATCGATGCTAGAATTCTCAACGAAAACATAACAAAAACAAAAACAAAAAAAAAAGATTTTGAAAAATAATTCAACAGAATACTCTAGAACAGTCGCTTGAATTCTTTAGTAATTTCAGTTATTTATTAATTGAACCAATAGAACTAGTTGTTCGTAAATTTGGCGGGTTTTTTGTGTTCGCGAATATTCTTTATTTATTTTTCCGCACTAAGATGTTTGACAACATTCAAGTTTATATAAATTTCCATGTACGTCCGTAAAACAAAATCTTATAAAATTTACGATAAAATGAACTTATTATTTTGCGGACAAACAAGGAAACATACATAAACTGATATGTTCTCAAAACGCCTGAAAAATCTGGCCTTTCGCAAGTAAATATAATTTCCGTGGTCAATTATCGAGTGCGATCGTACCCGCTTCCCGACCAAGCCTGTTATGGTATCATAAATTCTAACTTAGGCTGGTTTAAGAGTTGTTTAAAGAATAGGAAACAATGCATTTTATATGATGGCGAGAAAACAGACCTGATGACAGTTAACTGCGGAGTCCCCCAAGGATCAATTCTAGGACCGCTTTTATTTCTCATTTATATAAATGACTTTAGTAAATTTTCCAATACTAACGTATTTTATTCAAATAAAGATATTAATTTTTTATTTACAACTGTGAACGAGGAGCTTGTGAAACTAAGGGAATGGTTTATATCAAATAAATTGTCCATAAATATTAAAAAATATATATATACTTTCTTCCATCGTCTTCATGATAAAAACAACATACTCTTACAACTTCCTAAGCTTTTTATTAATAACTCTTATGTCAAAAGAAAGAGTTCTTTGTTGTTTCTAGGCGTTGTTTTAGATGAAAACGTAACATGGAAGGAGCACATACGAATAATCCAAAATAAAATCTCTAAAAATATAGGCCTTTTATACAAAGCAAAACAGCTGTTGAACCAAACTTGTTTGAAACTTATTTACTTTTCTTTTATTCATTGCTATCTAAATTACGCTAACGTTGCTTGGTGCAGCACTAATGTATCTAAAAATAAAGGGCTTCTAATTAAACAAAAACACGCTCTAAGAATTATTGGAAATGTGAATCGCTTTTCGCACACTAAATTACTTCTTAATAAATTCAAAATACTTAACGTATTTCAACTTAACCTATATCATATTTTTATATTTATGTTCAATGTAGATAATAAAATGGCACCCATTTTATTTAATTCATTTTTCGAAAAAATAAATCATTTATACCCAACAAGATTTTCAAACAATAATTATATTCAACCAAAAAAATATTATTCTGCGACTAGGTTCTCGATAGCAATCAGAGGACCTAAATTATGGAACACCCTATTATATAATGAGTTAAAAAAAATTTCTTCTCTTGATCAATTTAAAAAATAAATAAAAAGTAAACTTTTGATAATTGACAATGAACTTGACTTTTTCTGAAACTTTTAAATAGGAGTAATCACTTCTTTTTTACTTGATATTTAATTTATTTTTAACATATTAATTTTTTATTTTAACTTGAATCTTTACCTTCTTAATTTATCATGTTTTATCTCATTTTTATTTACTATTAAAATTTGAAATCCTAATAAAATAAAAAACTAAAAAAAAATATTAAATTTTAATGAAAAATATTTAGATATTTGTATTTATATATGTACCTTACGCATATATTATATTGCGATAACGATAATTTTTTTGGATTTTTGGTTTTTTGTTTTGTTTGTTACTTATATTCCTGTTTGAAGGGGCTTGGCGATAAGACTGAATTTGTCTTCTTCTTGCCCCAGCCGTGTATATACAGTTTTTAAAGTCTAATTTTGTAAATATTTTCTTTATGGCGAAATATATATTATATTATTATATTATTAAAAAGATGATAGGAGAGTTAAAATTTTAATGATTAGGTATGCAAACTTTTTTTAATAAATTTAGCTTTATTTTAAGGTTTATTTGGTGGGCAAAAAAAGCATAAAATAGGAAGAGTTTTATGTTGTAAAGTAAGAGGGGACAATATTAGGAAGTAAAATGCGGGGGGGAGGGGGTTCTTAAATACTTCCTATTGCTTTCTAAAAAAAAAAATGGGGGTTCTTAAAACTGAAAATCTGCCGACTAAAATGTGTCCAATGCCGGCTTACCGACTATATTCCTTAAAAAACCGACTATAAGTTAAGAAGTATTAGCCTTTTTTATAGAGGGTAGAGAAGGGGGGTTTCTTGACACTCTCCGTAAAATCGCCTCAAAGTAAGTTTGAGTTGTTCTGAATGTTTTACAGCAAATCTTTCAGGTATTTGAGAATTTTTAACTTTTCTTGCGTTGAAGCTACAATTAGCGTAAATTGCAATATTGCTACCGTGAGTAGATTAGTCTTTTTTGAGAGCATTGGTGTATAGGCAGCTTAAAATTCTATTAGATGATATTTTGAGGTTTAATGTTTTATGTGTACTTATGGCACCTTATTAAAATTAGAGTTTGCATTTTACTGCTTTATTGACTCTTGATCGTGATAGATCAAAAATTTTTAGCTTTCATGCATCTGCAAACTATTAGTCCATAAAAGGATATTTTTCAAAAATTAATAAGTTTTTGTATCTATATCAGATTGTAATATCAATTTACAAAACACTGCTATAAAAATGAATACACTATTATTACTCCTGTGTATAGTTTCATTAAATTATTATAAATTTATTTATGGACCTATAAACATTATAAATTTATATAACAACTTGATAAAGCCTGTGATTTAAAAAAAAAAATTGTAAAGGTTCTTAACCCTTTGAGAAAGGGTTATGAACCACCTTTTTTTTAAATCTTAGCAATTTTTAAACAAAAAACTTACAATTAAAGTAATTAAATTAAATTCAAATTAATAGTTAACGTTTTTAACTCTTGCGCAAAGAGATTCTTGTGAAATCTAAAACGAGAAATCACTACATAGCATGTAAACAACTAAAGATCAAATTGTTAAAAATAATAACCTGAAATAACTCTTGTTTGCAAAGTTTTTTATCAAATTAAAAACGGAAGTTTAGTTTTAAATTAAATTTAAATGCTTAATCATTTCTAATTCTATCTTTGATTTTATTAGGCTTTTTTAAATTTGTGTATAATGTAATTTAGGTTAAAAACAATAGTTAATTAAATATTTAAAAAGTTTAATTTATATATATTTTAGAAATATATTATTATCAAATAAATCTTCATAATTTAAGAAGTTCAAAATTTACACGTTTCCCTACGGGCATTTGTTTTTAAAAGTTACGTTCTAAATGTATTTTACCAGGTATACCGGTATGAAGTGAGCGTCAAGATACAAATGTCTCGATAGGGAACATTTGTTGTGAACGAGCCTTTATTTTTTTTTGTTTGTTTGCTATGACATCTGTGAAACATATTTAGTATACATCAAGTCATTGAACAGACAACATCATATTTTTTCATTGTGTTAAAAATGTCGAATTTTGTACCGGAAAGTGATGATTTGCGGAAAGCATTAATTTTTTGTTTTCATTTGAAGAAAAGTGCTGCAGAGTTGCATCGGATGCTTGTCGAGGCATATGGTGATCATGCTCTATCAGAAGCAACATGCAAAAGATGGTTTTAACGGTTCAGAAATAATGATTTTGATGTGAGAAATTAAGAACGTGGAAGACCACCAAAAAAGTTTGAAGACGCCGAATTGCAAACGATATTGGATGGAGATGACACTTTGAGTCAAAAGCAAATGGCAGAAATGTTAAATGTTGCACAACAAACAATTTCTGACCGTTTAGAAGCTATGGGAAAGATCCAAAAGTGTGGAAAATGGGTGCCACATGAATTGAATGAAAGACAGATGGAAAACCGAAAAAACACTTGTGAAATTTTGCTTCGAAGACACGAAAGAAAATCGGTTTTGCATCGGATTGTTACTGGCGATGAAAAATGGATTTATTTTAAGAATCTTAAACGGAAAAAATCATGGGTTAATCCGGGACAACCATCAACATCGACTGCAAAACCAGATCGATTCGGCAAGAAGACAATGCTGTGTGTTTGGTGGGACCAGAAAGGTGTGGTGTTCCACGAGCTCCTAAAACCTGGTGAAACCGTCAATACTGATCGCTACCGACAACAAATGATCAATTTGAACCATGCATTGATCGAGAAACGACCAGAAAGGGCCAGAAGACACGGCAAGGTAATTTTGCTCCATGACAATGCACCTGCACATAAAGCAAAACCGGTTCAGGATACAATCAAAACACTTGGCTGGGAGCTGCTACCCCACCCGTTGTATTCACCAGACTTGGCTCCTTCCGACTACCATTTGTTTTCAACCATCATCAGTGATCATCATCTTATATGAACAGCAACCATCATCAGTGATCATCATTTTAAGTGAATAGCAACCATCATCAGCGATCATCACCTGAAGTGAGCAGTAACCATATTCAGTGATCATCATTTTAAGTGAGCAGCAACCATCATCAGTGATCATCATCTTAAGTAAGCAACAGCTTTCATTAGTGATCATCATCTTAAGTGAGCAGAAATCATCATCAGTGTTCATCATCTTAAGTGAGCAGTAGCCTTGTTCAGTGATGATCATCTTAAGTGATCAGCAACCATCATCAGTGATCATCATCTTAAGTGAGCAGCAACCACCAGGCCTATATGCCGCGATAATCATAGAACCGGTGGCAAAATCATTTAATATTTCTAAAAATGATTTTCCTGACTGTGTGAACTAAATACAATATAAACCATTGAAAAAAAATATGATAGCCTTTTCGCCGATAACAACAAGCTAGGATGCTCTTATTGCGCCGATGACAACAAGCTAGGATGCTCTTATTATATGAAAGGACCCTGTATTTCAATATAATGGTAAAATTACCTTATTTAATCATTAAGTAAAACAAATGTCGTTCATCAGGCAACATTAAGGAAGAAAATGAAAAAACACTTTAATTAAAAAGTTCATCAAATGGGCTCAAAAAAAGACAAGGATGTCGAAGATAATATTGTTATTAAAATCATTGACAAAATGAACACGAAAAAGCTGTATTTAACATTGTGAATTAATTATTGAATTATTGGGTTCGCCGCTGAATATGTGGTATGCTACACCATTTGAATTTCTGATTGGTTTAAGACAAATAAACTGTCTCTTAATATTGATAAAACGAAATGAATTTTTTTCCATCCAAATCACAAAAAAAATCTTATACCAAATGAAATGCCACTGCTTTTTATTGATAATATACTTCTAAAAAAAGTAACAGTTACAAACTTTCTTGGTATTTATATTGATGAAAAATTGTCATGGAAAAGTCACATAAAAAATTTGAGTAGTAAAATATCAAAAAGCATAGGAATTTTGTACAAAGCAAGGTGTTTTTTAAATAAACATACATTACTTAAACTATATTATTCGCTCATTCATTGTCACATTAACTATGCGAACATTGCGTGGGGTAGTACTAATAAAAGTAAACTGGAACCTCTTTATCGTCAACAGAAACATGTTGCACGCCTTATTAATTTTAAGGATCGATTTACTCATGCCAAGCCTCTATTAATTGAAATGAAAGTCTTAAATATATATGAGCCTAATATTTTTAACGTTATATGTTTTATGTTTAAATGTTAAAACAATATTTCTGCTGTATCTTTTCATAATTTGTATAACAAAAAAGAAAAAACTAAGTACATTTTACGAAATGATAATAATATTCGTCAATCAGCTTATCAAACTAATTCTGGAAAATACTGTATTTCATTTCGAGGAGCATTACTTTGGAATAAAATAGTTTTAAAGAATTTTGACTTTTCTCAAGAAGTTAGCTATCACTCTTTCAAACAAAAACTTAAAAAAGTCATTTTTTTATTAGATGATATATCTATATTCTTTTAATTTTATTGTTTCTTTTTTAACTTTATATTTAACACTGCATTAATAAATTTATAATTTAACAATTTGTAAATAGTTGTTTAACACTTTTGTTAAAGGTATCTTAAAACTGTATAACAAAACCTTTAACAAAAAGTTTAACAATTGTGCTAAAGATATCTTAAAACTGTATAACGCATCTATGTATTTATAACGGAACCGTTTTTCTTTTTCTTTTTTTCTTTAAATTTGTTTATGTTTTCAATTCTTAATTCTTAATTATTTGTTATCTTTAAGTATGTTAAGTATATATTCCTATTGAAAGTTTATTTATTTTGAGAATATTTTATTAATACGAAATATTAACACGAAATTTTTTTAGCGGTTCTCGACGACAAGACCTTACGGTCTTCTACGAGTTCCCGCGTTCTTTTATTTTTTTAATAACGATCATGTATATATATATATATATATATATATATATACATTGTTAACGAATATTTATTAAATCACAAAGTTGTAAAATTAAAGTTGTAAAAAAAAAAAAAAAAAAAAAAAAAAAAAAAAAAAAAATATGATGAATCGTGGCTCAAAAATCACCATTCAGCTGATGATAACATAGAACGACCCCCACAACAATTTTACCCAGTGCTAATCAAAATACAAATGAAATCTTTTTCTAAAGAATAGTTATTTAATCTGCAATACTTTAAATAAATATTTATTTAAAAAAAAAATTCACTGGGGTGAATTAGTAAAGATTTATAGCAGCACATCACTGGTTATTAAATGTAAAGGTTTTCGAAGACACCAAGGACTGTAAATATGTTTTGTCCGTTTTTGCATGATTCTTAAAAACTTTAATACTTTCTTTTTTTCAGAAAACATCAAGACATATGATTTACATTTGTATTTATTGTCAGTGAAATTATACATTTAACGTTTTTTTGTTCGTGTTTTTAACAGCTTTCCTTTTTTTTTAGGTTTTGTTGTTTGCATCATCTCTGGTATTTTTTTCCTGGAAAGTTAACCACTTTTCGTACATAGATATTGAACCTAAAGTCAATTTTCTATTAGCAGTAACTCTAATTCCTTGGCTTCATGGAGCAGTTATATGCTTAGTTAAGATAATGGGTTTTAATATTAATATCATTTGTAATTACATTGTGGTAAGTTTTACTAAAGGTAACGAGTGTTCAATAAAAATCCGTAAGATTTATAAATTGAAATTAGTCTTTAGGTTTTTAGGTGACAAATTAACGGTAACGTATTAATACAAATTGTTTTTTTCTTTATTTGTTTTAATATTAAATTTCTTCTATCAGTCTATTATTTCTGAGTTTTCTAATTTTTTGAACGAGTTGACTTGACAGGAATTTATCCTAAAACAAAGTTTTTCCAAGTTTCTTTCCTGTCAGTTCTTTGCATAGTTCTATGCATCATTTTTTAATCAATTTTAAAAATCATTGATTGCATGATATTCTGGTATGTTTGGCGTGTTATCAACTTGGCCACATAATTTATGAAATTCTTTTTTAAGAATGAAATCATTTTTAACATAATGTGATGAAGCGAGACTAGGCCAAAGCAAGTATTGGTCATGACTATGATTTTCTTTTATAAAAAACACAAATTGCTTTTTGATGCAATGTTCCAAGTAAAGATTTCGGTTAACTTTATGACTGCAAAAAACAAAGTACGATTTCAACACACTGATAGTGGTTCTTTTTTTTTATTGATTAACTAATCAGTGCGACATTTAAATTTTGGAGCAGTCTGCCTTTGGGAAACTCTATTACGGTAATTTAACATGCTTTTGAAGCGATTGATTCTTTATATACTTTTCTGGAATCACCACTTTCTTTAATTCTTTTATAATTACAATGCACTGAATAATATTTGTAAAGTCGTTTTCTGTTAGCTTCTTGTTTTGATGTCGTTTTCTTAAAAATTTATGAATTTTTTATAAAACATAATATAGTTTAAGGCAGAGTATTAAATTTGTAAAAAAAACAGGTATTTAAAAACAAGAAAACTTGCGGGTATACCTTTCTTTTTAACTTTAAACCTTTTACGGATTATTATTAAACATCCGTTTATCTAAAAATTAAGTTTGTTTAAACCTTTTTCTATAACTGATTCATTAACATATTTTTGCAACCTTAATTCAGAATTAAAATATTTTATTTGTAATAGCAACATTTTTTATAGGCTTCAGTTATGCATGCATTAACTTCATTAGTTATTTTTATGGCTTCGTCAATTCTAACTCAAGCTATTGTTGAAAAAGATGTTTGCATGGATGATTGTCTTCAAACTCTGTTTTGTGTTGTAAGAAATTAGATTACAAAATATCATAAAATCCTCATAAACACACACAAAAACTGTTAGTACTGCAAAAAATTTATTTTTCTACGATATATTTTTGTGATACTAAACCCTAAACCCGAAGCTCCAAACGTGCGAGTAACAAATTGATAAAAAAAAACTCTTTATTCTGTACTAAATTTTAGTTCATCGATAAATTTTAAATTTCATAAAATAATCATATTTTTTAAAATTTATAGCTTTATAGATTTTGTAATTCTCTCAATTAAAGATTTTTTATATAACTTTTATTTATTTAACTTTATATAGTCATAACTTTTAACCGCTAAGAGATTGTTGTATGAGTTTTAAATTTAATTATATATTTAAATATATATATATATATATATATATATATATATATATATATATATATATATATATATATATATATATATATATATATATATATATATATATATATATATATATATATACTATATATATATATATATATATATATATATATATATATATATATATATATATATATATATATATATATATATATATATATATATATACATATATATATATATATATATAGATAGATAGATAGATAGATAGATAGATAGATAGATAGATAGATATATAGATACGCACACAATAAGACTTAATCTGATAATAATTGCCAAAACAAAAAATATTTTCATCTATTAGATTATGGGAACATTTTTTCATCTTTTAGATTATGGGGTATATTGACAGCTTTGGTTTACTTCTTTTGAGTTATTTTTGTTTTAAACAAAAATTAAACGAATCTACTAACGAGGAATGTGATAGAGAAGCTGTCAATTTAGATGAGGTAAAATGTTTTTTTATAATTTTTTTAAAACTATTTAATTAAAATTTAAAAACATGAGTTTGGAATAACAAAAATAATATAAAAGTAGGCAAATTTTATTCTCTTTTTTTAGTAACTTTCTGGGGTAATTTTGGGTAACTTTCTGAGGTATTATTTATATTTTTCCAGCAATTTTATTATTTCATTAAAATTTGTGCTAAGAACCAGAGTTCTTGCATTTAGATTTTAAACATTCCTTTTTTTAACAGGGCATCTTGATAGGTTGTGCAGCTTATCTTTAACATTTTCATTCCGTATTAACTGTTGCAATGTCAATTTTTGTTGCTATGTCAGTTGTTTTAATTTATTATTGTGTAATAATAACAAACTAAACAAATCTCGCATAAAAATATTAGTAATTTAAACTAAAAAACCTGATTTTTCTTAATTAATAAAAAAAAAAAGTTATCACTGCGTAATATCTAATGCCTTAAACATTATATCTAAAATAGCTCAAATGTCAAATAAAGCATGATGCATTCGCCCAAACAGCGCAATTTAGTCGGCTTAACGAATTTATTGAATTAATGAACTAATATAGCTAGCTGTGTGTTGGTGTCGCATTTGCAATTGGTCAACTGTTCATTTAACCGACAAACGAATTTAATAATACTTTGTTATCAAGATAATTTCTGTTTGGTATTGTGGTTTATCCTCTTCTAGATAATTGCAATATGGAAGCTACATACCAAGATTGTAGAAATCAAGTTCAGGCCACTAAAGAGCATCATAAACCATCGCAACGGGCCAAGATAAGTGAGTATTCAAACAACAGAAAAGTATTAATTTCGGAAGTAACTAAGTAAAAAAAAAAAGCATAGAGAAACGCGGTCAGACCGGTTATTTAAGAAACACTAATTTAAGAAAACTCATTCGTTAGGACTAAAAAGTTCTATTTTTTTTCCCGTAAATTTATGCAGCATTACGTAAATAATATTAATTATGTTTGATTATTAAATTTTATTATAAATTAAACCTTATAGCGTTATCAGCTGTATATTCAAAGTAGTGCTAAAAGATTACTTGTGATTCAACAATTTTTACAAAAAGTGTCATATAACTACACAACATCATCGAGCCATTTAGAGCAAATTATGGTTTTCACTTTAAATGCAATAGATTTTGCGCTAACTAAAAAAAAATATGGTTGGAATATCTGCAAAACCATTACAGTAACATAAAATTTAGTTGAATCAACAATCTGATGGGCCATTTATTATTTAATAATTTCTCGTATTTTTTTAAATATAAAAAAAGCAATAAACACATTAAAAAATTCATAAAGTTTTGCTTGTATTTTTAGACATATCTCAAAGAAGTTCAACACGAAACAGTAAAAAAAGGAATTGAAAGGTCTCTTGGAATGAAAGAGAAAATTTAAAGTTTGTTTTATATATTTTTATAGTGTATATATATATATATATATATATATATATATATATATATATATATATATATTATATATATATATATATATATATATATATATATATATATACATATATACATATATATATATATATATATATATATATATATATATATATATATATATATATATATATATATATATATATATATATATATATATATATATATATATATATATATATTTTAGACAACTCGTCAAATGAAATTTAAACAATGTTGCAACTTGAGTTTATTTGAAGAACAACGCATTCTTGATTATCAATTGTTTCTTGGTATTTTATGCTAAATAGAAAAATGAAAAACGTTTAATTTTTAATTACAACATAAAACTAAATCTTGAGAGTTTGATTGTTAATTGCGATTGGTTGTTGGATAATTGCGATATTGTGATTGGTTGTTGGATTTCTTGATGCGAAAACGTGTTTTTGAACACTTTGTTGGGTTCAACAACTTTACAACTAAAATAAACAGTTGATATATAAAAATAAAATATAAATAAATAGTTTGACATAAAATATTTAAAAGTATCAGAAACCAATAAAAAAAAATTTCAAGTATCAATAAGCAAAAAGAGCATTTATTTAGTGTTTTATGCCAAAAGAGTGGTAAAAAGTCTTCGTTTTTTGAAATTTGCCAACTGACTGGTCTGAAAGGTCTGACTTGTCTAAACGAGTCAAATTTGCCAACTTAATAAACAAGAACTTCAATAATGGGTAGGGGTAGAAATGTCTTACCCTCATCCTTCGTGCCTCCTTCAGTGTCTCACCCCCTTTTTCTGCTGACCTTGGACGTTTCCTAATCCTAATAAAATTTAACAAAATAATAAATCCTACAAACGCATTAAGTTTGTCAAAAAGAGACAAAAGCGTATTTAATAAATTCATCAGTGATCTATCACTTACGGAGCAAGAAAATAGGAAAATACTTTTTATGGTAAGAGCTGCTGCTAGTTTGTTTATATAGGCCAATGATTCTTGATGCGCATGACAACCCAAACACTAAACTAATCATTATAAGAGACAAATTCATAAATTTTTTTTATGAAACTGAACCTTTTCTCTCGTCTAAAAAATTCGATAGATTTAAAATTTCAGGGAATTTCAACTATGCTAACATTAAATAGAAAATTAAATGATAGCAAACATTCCACTCAAACTGATTCCTATTTTACTCGAACTATATATATTAATATAGATTCAGTTTCGAATCTATATTAATAAATATAGATCGAGTAAAATCTCGTTCAGTTTCGAGATTTATAAATTTCGAAACTGACCAGATTATACCAGTACTATAAACAATTTTCATTTTATTTATCTGTGGTAACGCCAGGACCTAAGCTTAGTAGCATCATGCATCAATATTTTTATGTAACATCAGACATAAACCGACATTACATTCTAGTATAATATTAGGACATCGACTCAAAACAACTTTCCAAAGTTTTTCTAACCGGCGTAACAACTATGTTAAAGGGGATTACTCAAATTTAAGCTTATTTATAGGCAGCACGAATTGAACACAACTATCCAAATTCTATGATTCTATTAAACTATGCTAAGATTCTTATCGGTATACAAAAAGCATGTCGCATATATAATTTAATCAAAGCACTAATAAAGCAAATAATATCTACTCAAAAATGGTTGGACTTTTAATCATTGCGAATATGAAAGTACAATTTGAATTATCACGATTGTGAAAGTATGATTTGAAACATCGCAAATATGAAAGTACGATTTTAATTATCACGAATGTGAAAGTACGATTTAAATTATCGCGAATATGAAAGTACGATTTGAATTATCACGAATATGAAAGTACGATTTGAATTATCGCGAATGTGAAAGTACGATTTTAATTATCACGAATGTGAAAGTACGATTTAAATTATCGCGAATGTGAAAGTACGATTTGAATTATCACGAATATGAAAGTACAATTTGAATTATCGCGAATGTGAAAGTACGATTTTAATTATCACGAATGTGAAAGTACGATTTAAATTATCGCGAATGTGAAAGTACGATTTTAATTATCACGAATGTGAAAGTACGATTTAAATTATCGCAAATGTGAAAGTACGATTTTAATTATCACGAATGTGAAAGTACGATTTAAATTATCGCGAATATGAAATGACGATATGAAATATCACGAATATGATTTGAATTGTTATTAGTACGATTTTAAACTAAAATTAAAAACAAACCTTAAAACTGTAAGCGGATATCCTGTAAACAAATTAGTTAATTTAAAAATTAAAGTAAATAATTGATAAATAAATACATTAAAACATTAGAATAAATATAATGCACAAAAATATTTTAATTTTTTTTTTATTTTAAAACAATAAACTAAATTAAGTACTCCATAGTTAGGTGTCAAAATTCAAATATTAAAAAAACTCCCAATCTTAAATTACAAAATTTGACCCAAAAAACTATTATTTCAACATATAATATGATTTTTCAAGATGTCAAAATTTCTTGAGTTTTTGCTGTTTTTGATCATTCTGAGGAGTAGTGGATTGCTGGTAAAACTTCCTAGACATACAAAATTCTGTAAAGTACTGAAAATTTGCTTTGTTAACTCGATTATTTTTCTACATGTATATGCAAAAGAAAGTTTACTCTCTTCTCTCTTTTAAACCGTTTTTTCAAACGTATAAATCAAGAAACAAATTTATTTTTTAATAGTTAGGATTATCAAGGACAGCCATTTTAAAGCCTCTAGTTTGGACGTCTTTGAACTCCCTCTTGACATTTATAAACTTAAAAATAGTTACAATTTTTGATATAAAGCCAACAATTCCATTTTAATCTTTTATTTGAGGATGAATCTTTCTAATGTTTAAATTCAGAAAATCTTAAAGAAGTTAAAACTTTCTGCGAGACATTCTGCATTCTGTAAATTTTAGACAGGTAGATTTGCATTTTTTTAGTTAAAATTTTTTGTTTTCGAGCACAACTAAAAACAAAAAATTACTTTAAATTTTGCGCCATGAAAAAATCAAAATCTTTTCAATATTAATCAATATTTTTTTATAACTTTTTTAACTTTTTTTTAATTTACAGTATAATAATATTTAAAATAAGGCTTATAATTTGTAATATAATACGGATGGGACTTCGTAATAACTATATCACGAAACCCTTTACATTATAGAAACCTACCGTCTTTTACAATAAGAATATTTTTTATTTTTACAAAAATATCTGTTATCTTTATAAAATAAACATTTAACTACTAACTTATTTTAATGATTAAAAATTTCCACTTACACAAAATTTTACGCGCGAAACGAATGAAAAAATAATCATCTAAAAAAAAGTCTTCTGTTCAGCAACTACATCAGCTTGTTATTGAAGCCGATCGCGCATATTTGCAGTTGTTTACCATATTCTGGATGTATTCTGGGTCTCTCGTATCTTTGCCAGTGTTCATAAACTCATCAAAGACATCTTCGTCTGGATTCTCCCCAATATTGTGCTCAAGTGCGCGATTCAAAGGCATGATATTTTTCAAAGTTAAACTGTCTTCACAATTTGTTAATCATAATTTAACCTTGTTTATTACGGTATTGGGTGGACACGGAATAATCCGGTTGACTTTAATCCGGTTAACTTTTTATTTCAATTTTTTTATTATTAAATGTGTTTACATAAATTAGAGTTTCAACTTAATTTTAAGGGGCTCGATGGGTTGCTTGGCAAGAAATCGAATTTTATAGCGGGTTGATGCCATCATTTTACAGATTTTTTCTTTTTTCACCATATTGGTGGCATTAATCCACTTTTTTTGGAAGTCCTTTTTATTATTTGTTAGTCCACCTGTCTTACCAAGAACTACTTTAACTATTGCCCAAAAATCTTCAATCTTGCGCTCTTCAGGACAATTTGGAGGATTCGCATCTTTAGGAACAATTTTCACATTATTACGCACCACTGTAAAACTTTTTTAGAATAGTGAGCGGCAGCAAGGTCGGCCGAAAGAGACATCGGTATTTGTGTTTTTTTATAAAAGGCAAAAGTCTTTTTTGGAGGCATTCTTTGATGTAGAGATTGGCAGTCAAGGTCTTTTTAGTGTCAAAACAAGAGGACTGCATACCACAGCTACAAATTGCTTGCCACAAAAGGAACTTGGATGCAAATTTTTCTCGTCGAATATATTTAAATTGATCATCGACAGGTTTATCTTTGTTTTCATAGTAAAACTGTTGACCAGGAAGTTGTGAAAAATCCGCCTTGCAATACGTTTCGTCTTCTTCAATTATGCACATATTTTTATCCGCCATTATTTTAACCAACTTCTTTGCCCGTCGAATTCCTTTAATTTCACAATTTAAGCTTCTCTTAGGTGTATTTTTTTTATAAAATGTTTTAATTTCAGCATTTTTAAGTACTTTTTTGACATAAGAACGAGAAGTCTTAAATTTTCTTGCTATTGAACGTAAAACTGACTTTACCCTTTTGGATTTATGGAAAGTTTTTTTTCTTCCACTTTCAAGTTTTCTTTCGAAGCTTTGAACTTGTTTATAATATCTATGACTGTAGATTTTAGGACATTTGTGCGTTTAGCAATCAAGCGATAGGAAGTCGATGGATTTTTGCAAAAAAAGTTCACAACTTTTTTACGCACCTCAACTTGTTTCAAAAACATTTTGCAAATCATTAATTTGTAAACAAAAATTTATCAACACCATTTAAGATAAGGAATTATGGTTTAATTAAAAAAATAAAAAAATAAAAAGCATTTGTGGTTTTGGAGAAATCTCAATTTAAAGATGACCGAATTTTTCCGTGTCCACCCGATAATTGTCTTTTCATTTTAGTTACTTACAGTTATGTAACTTTTTTATGTTTATGTACTGAAATAAATCATTATGTTGATATTTATCCATTTACAAATTAAAAGTACCATATTTAACTGTTTCCATTCACCCCCAATTCGTTTCAATAAAAAAAAACATGAAATCGAAGGACTGTTTCTATTCACCTCCATGTTTTAATTTTTTTTCTTTAAAATCAAATAAAATTAAAAAATTTAAATACTATAAACAAATAGGCTTTGTGGCGTTAGTCTTCAACATTGACTACAACATGACAAAAATCATACAAGCAAAAGGTAAAATATCTTTATTTGTAGTGCACCAGCAAAAGCTAATTTTAATCACTGTAATCGTCATTATGGATGTGATTGTTGCAATGTGTAAGAAACCTATGATGGTTGAATGATGTTTATGTACACTGGTACTCACTGCTAAAACATTTAGAGAAAAAAAAATCAGAAAAATTATCACAATGATACCAGTTTCTTGGAGTCACTTAAAGTAGATATGATGCAGCAGTTCCCTCTTAACGCTGTTCAATATGTGGACATTGGTTGTACTAAAAAATTACTTTTTATCTGGAAAAAAGGGCTGCTTTCTCTTTAGTTATCATCTGGACAAGTTAATTTATTCACTGTTTACTTATGATCCTTAAAAGAATACATTTATATAGAATTTAATTGTAAGCCAAAAAGTCTAAAAAATATGAAGTTATGGAAAGCCTCGGAATTAAGAACT